TATCTTATTTTTAGTACCTAAACATGAACCTATGGAATATGAAACAAGTAATAGTAGTCATCATCATTCTCATTATTCAGGAAACTCGACATCGAATTCTTTAAATGTACCAACAGGTTCATTAAATAATAATAATAATAATAATAATTTAATGATGAATGGTTCTGTTGATATTCCTGCGCATCGTGTAACGGTTTTACGTGGTCATGAATCGGAAGTATTCATTTGTGCATGGAATCCTACACATGATCTATTAGCATCTGGTTCAGGAGATTCAACAGCACGTATTTGGAATTTACAAGGTTCAGGACGTGAACAAGAAATGGTTTTGAGACATTGTATTAGACGTGGTGATACTCAAGTACCAAGTAATAAAGATGTTACAAGTTTGGATTGGAATGTAAGTTCTCAAATTCATTTATATTCAAAAATCATCTCATATAAGCTAAAGATTGTTTTAATAACGATCAGTTTTTAAATATATATGACCTATTGAGTATACATCGAAGCCTAGTTTACTGTAGGTATTTTGTAGACACTCTGAAAACAACCGAGTTGTAGTGATAGAATTCAGTGAATATTGAAATTAACTATATCAATTTCAACTCTTAAAAAGTTTCATGACGTTAGTTTCGATAGAATTCGATTTTACTTATTCTTCCTCTTCAATTAAGACTTATGATTTTAAAACTGAAATAAAAAATTCATACAATTCTTTATTTTTTAGCCATCGGGTACACAACTAGCTACAGGTAGCTATGATGGTTATGCTCGAATATGGTCATCTGATGGCAATCTAGCTAGTACACTTGGTCAACATAAAGGCCCGATATTTGCTTTAAAATGGAATAAAAAAGGCAATTATATATTATCAGCTGGTGTTGATCGAACAACAATTATTTGGGATGCTAATTCTGGTCATTGTGAACAACAATTTGCTTTTCATACAGCACCAGCACTTGATGTTGATTGGCAATCGGATGTAACATTTGCATCATGTTCAACAGATCAAAAAATTCATGTTTGTCGTTTGGGTGAAACGAAACCTGTTAAAACATTCCATGGACATCAAAATGAAGTTAATGCTATTAAATGGGATCCACAAGGACGTTTACTTGCTTCATGTTCAGATGATATGACATTAAAAGTAGAAATAATAAAAAGATTATATTTTTCTTTTTAATTTTTCTTTAAAATTTCTCTAGATTTGGACTATGACAAAAGATACGCCTGTTCATAATTTACAAGCACATAATAAAGAAATTTATACTATTAAATGGAGTCCAACTGGACCTAATACAATGAATCCAAATGCTACATTACTTCTTGCTAGGTAAACAATAGATTTATGAAGAAAGATCTTTTCCTATTTTTATATTTTCTAGTGCATCATTTGATTCAACTGTACGTTTATGGGATGTTGAACGTGGTATTTGTCAAAGTACACTTGTTAAACATTCAGAACCAGTTTATTCAGTCGCATTCAGTCCTGATGGTCGACTATTAGCAACTGGTTCATTCGATAAAGCTATTCATATTTGGGATATAGCAGTAAGTTATCTCATATATTTTCTTTGTTTATATATCTATATATAATTATATAGAGAGGTGAAATTGTGCATAGTTATCGAGGTACAGGTGGTATTTTTGAAGTTTGTTGGAACAGTCGAGGCACACGAGTAGGCGCAAGTGCGTCAGATGGAACAGTAAGTGATTTTGTTAAATTGAAATATTTCCTATATATCTATTCTTTAATTTTTGTAAAGGTGTGCGTGCTCGATTTGCGTAAATAAATTCGAATGAACTTCAATTACCAAATAGGTTAATGTGGTGTACTTTCTTTCATTTTTACATGTTTTCTTTCTTTCTATTCATCCAAAACAAAAAAAACATAAAATACTCGTCCTTATTTGATTTTTTCGTATTGTTGTTACTTGTTGTTCTCCTACTCTTTTTTTTTTAAAAAGAAAACATATAAGAAACTATTATATCATCCCTACTACAACGATGATCTCACAGAAATAAAACACATGTTATCGTTTTTTTTGTTCATCTTGCACATACATATGTATGTATTTTTTTTTTGTTCATTCTTTTGTTCTACTGACTTTTGTCTATCTTGGGCCTATTGTTTGTATCTGTCTGTCAATCTTTTTTTTTCTCTTCTTTTTCTTCTTTCGAAAACTTCAAAGCAGTGATATGTGTGTATGCGTGCGTGTCTGACTATATTTCTGTCTCGGTTTTACATGTATTTGTGTGTATGATGATGAGCTCGTGTTCCATTATAAATATTTCATTTCATACGAGCACAGAGATGACGACAAACAGAAAACAAAACATATTATTATTTTTTTACTACTATTAAGTTTCAAGGTTTACAAGTCAAAAATTTACTTTGAATAGAAAATTTATATTCAAAGAAGACAACGATATTCGATATTTATTACTTAAAAATATATAGTTGGATTTTGTAATTAACTACAGACGAGGCATTAATTGAATGATGCATGAGGGATATACATTGAATTAGGATTCAAATGTACTAATACATTATTTCAAAACCTATTATCATTCTTTGAACTTTTTATAAAAATATTCAATGATTCGATGTCTCAGTTGAATAAATTGGACAGAGGCCGATTAAAGGAAAGAGACATCTTGAGGGTGTGGGTGTGGGTGTATAAGTCATTCTTCTTTCATACTACACAGGTACACCTACACCCGCCCCTATATTTTTTTAAACTACGATCTCTTGGCCAACATGTGTTACGGACTCCCGATAAACGCTTTACAAGTAAAAAATCAATTCTGAACACTTGAACTGATTACCGGCTGTCTGGGACATCTAGTATGAAATACCTTTGTCCCCGATCATACAGTATTTTCAAAATCAATACTAATCCGTATCCAATTGTGCGACAGATCAATAAGTAACAAGTGCAACTTTATTCAAATTAAATACACGATTGCTATTATACTTTTTAAAACTACTATAACTCGGGCCAAGCCAGTAAAATAGTAAGTTTATTCTATAGTACATTCTTACATAGATATGACCCAAACCAAACCTCAAACAGTTTGGATCTGCGTCATGTCTGTTCGTACCAATAACAATTTCCATCATTGATTCGATATGTGCGATAATTATTTCAATTACCTCGTGATTTATAAATTTCGACAATTCAATCGATACTATGATTTAGTCTTTCTCTTATCAAACTATATTTACACAAACATTTATAAGCATATATTTTATTTTATTTTATTTTATTTCTGTATTAAAAAATGAATACAATAAAAACTATTAATAAACAATTAATTTTTTTTATTATAATATAATTGTTTTTTTTATATAATATTATTTGCATTCTTTTATTTTAGTTTCAATCTCTATATCCATAGCATTATCGTGTTCAACAGCATGGTCTTTCAATTTCTTTAATGCTAATTCAAATTTTTCTTTAGCTTTATCATGTGTACCTTTTTTAAGTAAAGCATTTCCCCAATCAATATTCGATTGTGCAACATCAACAGCGAATTGTGGTAATAAATCTTTATCATCATTATTACAAACAACACGTACTTTAGAGAAATCTTTTGCCCATTTGCTATGACGTTCAACATCTGCACAATAAACATAGATAGCATAAAGTTGTGGTAATTCATGAAGTAATGGAACAATTCTTGATCCAAGTGAACCAGATGATACGAGAAAGACTCGTCTATTTTTACAATCATCACGTATACAGCTAACACATCTCTCTTCTTGACCTTGACACATTTCCCATCTGAATGTTCCACTAATGTTATCATAAATGTCTCTTGTTTCAACTTGTAAATCATCAAGTGTAACAAATTTAAAACCTTTAAATGTATCTAAATCAATTTCTTGTGGAGGTAATGGTTTCAATATTTTTTTATCAGAAGAAGCTGCTTGAGAGTTCGTACTAGCAGCACTAGCAGTAGAAGTTGCAACTGTATTATTTGTTATTGGTTGTATAGGTTGTATCTGTGAATTTGGATTATACATATTATGCCCTGGATTCATGTTATAACCTGCATTCATCGTTGGCATATATGCTTGATTTCCAGTTGCCATAGGCATACGAGGAAAAAGACTAGTTGCTCCAGATGCTAAGCTAGCCAATTGTTGTGGTGTTGCAAATGACATTGGAATTGGTTCTGTATATAAATGACTCATACGTGGCCCTTTTGGTCTTTGTGGCACTTGTTTGTCGGACATTTCTAATAAATCTAGAATGAGAAATAAAAAGCATGAGTTTTGTGCATTGACAAAAATAAAAAGTAATGAAAAGGCGAGGTCTTCATCGTGTAGCATATCAGCAAACAAGGAAAAAACCAACTATTGAAGAGAACGAAAAAAATATTTTTCCTTTTCTTTCTTTCATACGTGTGTAAAAGAAAGCGAATAAAATGTGCTTTGTTTTTCTACGAAACAATAAAGCCACATTTTATACTAACACGTTCTTTTTTTCCTACAAAAACCGTTCTGTTTTCAAGACAAAATATCTTTGATCATGTGCGTAATAAATAAATACTAAGTATTGCAAAGGTCTGCGTGTGTATACTTGTCAAAATAAAGTTTTTTTAATTAAGTAAACAAAGTTACCTGGATGGTTTTGATACAATAAAATAGTGTAACAAGCAAACTAGAGAGAAATATCTTTTTAAATATTAAAAAGAAAATTTTTTTAACTAAAACTAAAATAAAATACAAAAAACTATGTGTCACATTTTAACCTTCACTGGGACATATTGTTGATGAATGTGCTTCGTCTAACTTCTTTGTAATTCTGTCGATTAATTTAGCTGTACCATTATCACCTAACATTTTTCCTCTGTTTAATAATTTTATTGCCCATGCATAACAATTTCGTGCTTTTAATAATTCTTGTTTTTCTTTATGTTGATCACCTTTTGTTTCGACATATAATGCAATATCTCGTGTTAAACGTTCTAATAAATCATCTTGATGTTCAAGCATTGCTGATATATTCTCAGCATAATCAATTGCCCATTCAGCATGTTTGGAAATAAAACCACAAAAAATATAAATACCTTGAATTTGTGATAAGCCAACTAATTGCGGTACAACTTCTTCTCCAATAGTTCCAGATGAAATGAAGAAAATTTTTTTATGTGGATTACTATGAATATATTGTAAACCTTGTTTCGGTGTAGAAAAATATTTTAAACAATAAACTTGATCACTTAATTTTTTTAACATATCTTGATCAGCATAGAGCATACTTTCATCATCTATTTCATGTTCAGCTGGATTATTTGATTGAAGAACTTGAATATTATCATGAAATTTTGTTTTAATACTTTCATAAGTATTTTCAGCACCAATATGTTTATCTATCCAAACAGTAACATGATCAGAAAAATCACCAAAATCACGATCATTAGTATAATAGGGATTGGACCCATAAGATGAAGTTACTGGTTCAGCCATCGTAATGTTTTCAAATATAGAATGAGTATTATATGATTTGCCTCGTTATATATATATATATAGTGAATAAAACAATAGAAACTATATAAATTTTTTTTCTTCTTTCTTTTCAACGTTAGTTGGAAAAAACCCAGGAGTAGATGTCAGTGACAGTATTGTTTATGCGTATGTAATTGCGAGAAATGAATGTAATCAAGTATTTTGTCTATTTTTGAAATTTATTTCTATTACTATTTAAAACAAGATAAAAGCAGAACCCTAGAGAAGCGGAAGTAAATAATCTTGATTATCAAGTCTATAATTATTTATTGTTTAAAAAAATATTCATTTTATTAAAACTTTTGTGTATAGTATATCACATGTATTGTGTAACCAATAATATTTTAAATATAGTGTTAATCAATAGCGACATCTATTGTAACTTTGAAAAACTGTGAAAAACTTTTTGATTAATGATGAAAAAAAATTTCGATTCAATAATATGATTATTAATTAATTAATTTCTAGTTTTTTCTACGATAACTAAGCAAACTTCCAATAAGAAAACTTTTATATATGAAAGTTTGATTGATTGTGTTGTTCTTTAGTTCACACAACATAAACTTTTTTCTTTTTCTTTTATATTCTTGTAGAATTGAAGTATATTTCACTCTCGTTCTCGCTCACCCATGATGACATCATCGTATCGTCGTGATCGATCACATTCACCATATAATAATAACAACAATAATGATCATGAAGAAAATGGCTGTCGTATTCATGTTGCTGATCTTTCATCGAAATGTACTAAACGTGAAATAGAAAAAGCATTTGATAAATGGCCATTAATTGAAGTATGGCATGCCAAAGCATCATGTTTTGCTTTTGTTGTTCTGCGTCATCGCGAAGATGGGCAACGAGCCATCAGCGAACTCGACGGCAGGTAACAATAAAACAAATTTCTTTTTTACTTATTTTATAGCCTTTTCATTTACTTAGATGTATTGGTGATGCACGTATTCGAGTTTCTTTAGCTCGACCACGAACACGTGGTGGTAGTGATCGAAGAAATTTTGATCCAAATATGTACGTAGACATTAACATTTTCAAAAGAGCAAGAGATATGAAAAGGACAATAATTAGCTTCCTATTTCAAAGATAATTATAGACTATGATATCATTGACTTTCTCCTGTAATATGAAAACCGTCAGGATTGTTTTGAAATTAATATTTATGATAAGAAGAGTTACTAATATCATATTAGACAAAATATATGTTGTTCAAAGGATCTAAAACACAATAGAAAGTCGTGAATCGTATGATTCATCGATAGTTGTACTTTGAATCTAGACATAAGAAAGTTTTTGTCCTGTATAATATCTGTGAAAATGTCAGTTTTGATTTCTACCAATTACTTTTTTTAATTATTGTCATAGTTGATTAGAGAACAAATTTATATGATTCATATTTAAGTGATTTATTTTTAGGCGATGTTATCAATGTGGTTCTCGAGGTCATTTTAGTCGAGACTGTGGTAATGATCAACGAAATTTTAAAAGAAATGATAATGGATATCGGTAAGCTTAATATACTTAATAAATTTCATATCGAAATAAGAATTATTCAAATATCATATACATCATCTTTCATAAATATCGAAATTTTTCTCTGTAAAACTAACGAGGTATTATTAGAATAATTCTATGCTTTACACCGGGTTTATTAGTATGATCTTTATTGGAGAAACTATTTGAAAGTAATGGATTTCTTTGTCATTGGTAAAAATGAGATCAAGGTAAATTTTTGCCAACTAAATGCTTAATTTATTCATTAGAAAAAAATATTTCGTATTACTTATCTATATTTATTTAGATCACGTTCAGGTGATCGTCGTCATGAACGTTCATATTCGCGATCTCGGTATGTAATAATACATTTTCAACGTTAATGATTATCTTTTTCGGATATTTTAGTTCCCGATCACCATTTCGACGAGTTACTCCAGATAATCGTCGTTATAGGTAAATTACACTTTCAAAAATATCAATCATATATATTTTATTTCTGTAGTCCTCGACGAACATCATCTTATTACGAATCTCGAGAGAATGGATCTGGCTATTATACAAGGTAAAAATCTTACATAATAAAGAATAACTTAAACTAATTATAAGCTTAGCACTTGTAGTTATTTTTCTTAAGATAAATTTCAAAATCTCGATTTAACACTGATTATTAATTGCTTTGAATTTACATATGAATCACTTTAGTTTCGAATCCATAGAAAAAAATTTAATAATTTCTTTTTAGTTGTAGTCATAGTCTTACATAAGTAAAATACAATGCTGAGTAAGTTGTTACTAAAGGGAATATATTACTTTTTTTCCTCTTCTTTCAATAGAAATAATTATATAATATTTTCATCTTTTAGTCCACCTCGAATGTGATTTATATCTATGAACAATTGAATGATCTATAATTTTCTCTTCAAATGTATTACTTATTAGGCTATTTTTCTTCTTTATTATTTCAACGTGATTTGTATGTGAAGATTTCTCTCTTTTTTTTTGTTGTTGTGTCTTTGTATACATCTTCATTCGACTTTGGCTGTTTATTTTCTCTTGTTATGCCTCTGTTCGATAGATCTATAAATTCATTTGATTAATAGTAATTATGTCTTTATTTCAGTATTTTTTTGAATTAAAAAAAAGAAAAGAAAATGCCTCGAACAACAAGAAGTGAATCATCATCATCATCACGACGTTCTCGTTCACCTTTATCTGAACATGAAAGTAGTAGTGAACGAACAAATGAATATCGTGTACATATCGCTGAATTAAAACCAGGTGTACAAGAAAATGATATA